AGTTCTTGTTCCGAGCGTGCTGCAAATGGATGCCAACTCTTCCGGGATCTGAAAGTCCAAATTAACACCACGAATGAACATGAGAAGTTGTGACGTACTCGAGAGATCTGTAGACTCATCCAGCAACAGAGAATACCACAAGAAGTTCCTAGCTTTCTCGCGTATCTGTAACACTATGTTCTCTCCAAGTTCTTCTGTTCTCCACACAACTGATACTTCCAAACAAATCGGCTTTCTCAGGACACAAGTCATTTGCTGCTTCCATCATACACTCTTTGATGAAGTTGCTGTCAGTAAACGGTTTTCCTCGCTCTGCCATCCTATGTACTATTTTGTAACTTGTACGAGTGACAGATTCATTTTCAGCAAACATTCTCGTGAAGAGATTCTTTTGAGATTCTAAAGTACGTTTCATGAGCTCAAATTTCTCAGAATGCAACTTTCCAGAAAACTTCGAATATGTTGACAGATGTTTTGTTTCATAGTGACGCCGAAGATTGTACTCTTTCAAAACGACAACACTTTCGTTGCATATCATGCAACTAGCTTTCTGGTTGTTTGTTTCCACAAAGAAGTACTTTTCTCCCCATTCTTCATCGAAAAGGTGACACTCAGCATCTACTTTTATTTTCTTAGTAGCCATAATGATGGGTGAAGAAAACAGGATCTGAAAATGAAAAACAATTGTTTATTTACACATTGAATAATCTACCAAAAAAGTTTTAGAAAAATAATAATTTTTCTAAATTTTTTTGACATGTATATAAACATGATAAACTAAATGTAAATAGTTCATGACATTAAATTACGTTATTATGTAATTGGTTTAAAACTTTTTTTCCCGATAAGTTATTTGATTAAGCAATTTTTATAATTTGCCAATGTATTTAAAATTTATTGTGTAAGTTAATTAGAAGAGCTTCATAAAAAATAGTTAAGATAATATTCAATAAAAATATTAGAATTATTTAATTATTAATATTAATAGGCAAATATAGTATTAAGAATTTGATACTAATTTAATTAAAATCTTCGTTAATTTAATTAAGT